CCATCGGGTCAAAATTAAAGGAGACAGGCTTTTCATTTGTTTATAGGACAAGAGATTTCATCCACTTCAAGAAAAATGTTCACCACTTGCATTCGGTTCCTGGTACGGGTATGTGGGAGTGCGTGGACTTCTACCCGGTTTCACTAAATGGGTCTAAAGGCTTGACCACGTCAGCATATGGCCAGGAATTAAGCATGTGTTAAAGGCTAGTATTGATCATGCTAAAGTGGATCATTATGCACTTGGGACTTACTTCATTGAGAATGATACATGGATACCCGATAACCCGAAAGAGGATGTGGGCATTGGGTTAAGAGTGGACTATGGAAGATACTATGCATCAAAGTCATTTTATGACCCGGTTAAGGAGAGACGTTTGCTTTGGGGTTGGATTAATGAAACAGATACCAAAAATGATGACTTGAAAAAGGGATGGGCATCTGTTCAGGTATGATTTTTATTGATTTCACATTTTGTTTTGGGTTACTTGAAATATTTTGTCGGTCGCATATAACACCTCAAAGTATTTTGTGATGCATAAATATTTTGAAATATTTTTTTATGTCATCTAGTACTTCAAAATTTTATAGTTTATTCAGCATCTTAAATATTTTTTTAGATGCATCCAACACCATAACAAATATTAGAAAATTTTTTTTATAATGCTTGATACACATTATTTACTGAAACTTTTGAAGAGTTAATGACAAAATTAAAATTTGCTCATTAAGTAAAATTAAATCACTAAATATTTTACTTCAAAAATATTTTACACCTTAACCCTTATTGTTTCTATCACTATTTTTACTTGCAAGATCTTTCTTTCTCTATCACTCCAAAAATATTTGAAGTTCACATGATGGAGATCAAAGTATCAAATGTAGTCTCATGAAGGAGCCATACTTTTCTCACCTACGCAAATTGAAACTCAAACAATCTTTTTCCTAAATGAACAATACTTATGTGTGAATTATCCATTGTTTGTGGCAGACTATTCCTAGATCAGTTACATTTGACAAGAAAACTGGAACTAATATTCTTCAGTGGCCAGTAGAGGAGATAGAGAGTTTAAGGCTAAGAAGGTTTGAATTTGAAGGCATCGTCCTCAAGCCTGGCTCAGTTTTGCCCTTGAACATAGGCTCCGCAACACAGGTAATAACATCAAGTTTTGAAAAACATTCATGTTTTGTGTTTTCATTCAAAATTTTTAGGGAACACATACAAGTTACGAACCCAAGGTGTTTCCTCTAAGGATACCTTATACTAAAAAGAAGGATTTTAGTTACATCTTGCTTTGGCCACAAGATGTTTGTTGAATTGCCTCAAAGTCTGTTGACTGACTATTTGAATTTGAAATTAGCAAACACATTTCATGTTTTCATTCAAAAGTTCATTGACAAACACATAAAACCATGAATTAAGATCTTTCCTGTAAAGATGCCTAATAAGAACCACCATTTTAGTCACATATTGCTTGGCCCTCAGGGTGTTTGTTGAATTGGTACAATTGAAGAGTCTACTAATGAACTGTTTGGATTTGTTGGAAACTTGATCCAGCTGGACATATTTGTTGAATTTGAGATTGAACCGTCGGGTTCCCAAGAGATTGATGAAGACATTGAGGGCTGTGGTGGTGGAGCTACTGATAGAAGTGCTTTGGGACCATTTGGCCTCTTGACTATAGCTGATGATACACTTTCTGAGTTGACACCCATTTATTTCCGTCTCTCTAATACAAGCCATCAAAATTCAACTACTTTTTTTTGTGCTGATGAAACTAGGTATGTACAAACTTTTATTTTTTGGTTCTGATTTTCCTCTTTCTTTGAAAAGAAATAATTCGATTAAGATGATGTTAGAAGCTTGGTATATTAGTTTTATGGTGCACCCATATTGAGAATGCATTAATTACTGATACTACTTTAGTATTATACAATACATAAAGCGTTTTGCCCTCAAGTTTGGTTTGGATGTATATTGAGGATAATGTGCATGTCATATTCTCTCATATGGGAGAACAAAACAAGTACCAGATCAAAATAGATATTATATATCTTTTCAAATTTTGTGTGAGAGAAGAGAATTCACACACAAAGCAGATGATCCACAAGTAGTCATGTTAAGAAAGAAATTACACAGAAATAAGGTGGAAACATAGAAGAAGCGCTATGCATATACTAAATGCTAGAAATTGACATGATGCTGATCTATGCCTATGCCACAGATGTGCTGGGGTGTTGGATCATGTGGATCATCATCGGATTTGTGTGGATTTATACTGATGCATAGGAAATTAAAAGGATTCTTGGAGAGAATTTTCTAATGTTATTTGAGAGGCTGTGTCTATATTCCTTAGCGTCTTGTAGGTTTCTGTTTCCTTTTATAGACCAAAAAGTAGTTTTTTTCTCCATTTATTTGCACCAGGAAGTAGGTAACTCCAAATTTTTTGGGTTTATGTTGTTGTTTTTCCCAAAATTCTCTTCACTTTTGCCACATGCTAACATTTTGTCATTATAACTTTGTTAAAGTAACTTCCCTTCCCTCTCCAAAGCTGTCGGTTGGGCTTAGACCAAAAGTGGAAATACAGTGTTAACCATACTAAGTATAATATACATATATGACTCTATAATATTATACAATGTTTAGTGTAGTAAGAACAAAAAAACAAGTATGAGACTAGGAATCTCATTGCTTTTCACTAAGTTCTCTATATACAAATGCTATGGAGAATTCATATTAAGTTTCATGCATTCAACAATAATACACATGATTGCATTAACAACTATGGTATCTTAGTCTGAAATGATTTTGTTGGAATTGCATGAATTTTGAATTCATTTAGAAACCTAAATCAGTATTTGGTATGTACACAAACCAATAGCTTGAATATAAATTGTTGGATTATGCAGGTCATCTAAAGCTCCTGATGTCACAAAGACAGTTTATGGAACTGAAGTTCCAGTGCTCATGATGAGAGACTGTCAATGAGGGTATTGGTAAGTGAAAATCAAACACCAACTGCTCTTATGTATATATACTGGAAATGTCTTTTGAATTTAGTTGTTGACACCACACACACACACTTAGCCCTTATGTTTATAGATTTCACATAATGTTGAAGTTAATGAGAATTAATGTCTTCAAACTTTGAATGCGATTAGGTTGACCATTCAATCATTGAGAGCTTTGCTCAAGGGGGGAGAAGAGTGATCACATCTAGGGTTTATCCAACAGAAGCAATATATGGAGCAGCAAGGTTGTTTCTATTCAACAATGCAACAGCCATTAACATGAAGGCCACCCTCAAGATTTGGGAATTGAACTCTGCTTTCATACGCCCTTTTCCTTTTGATCAGAGTCAATGAAAGGCTCTAGTACTAATATTATGTGCATCTTATTATGGTAATATTTATTATTTCATGGGAAATATAAAATAAATGGTCATAATTTGTGGTGGAAAGCTAAATCGTTAGTACAATAAATTAATTTTAACCAATTAATCCCTTTTCAGATGATTGTCAATATATTTATTTTTTTAGGCCAAGCACAAGTATTCTCCCCTAAATGTAGGCACCTCTTTAAATGAGAATTCAAACTTTAATTCGCAATATTGTGAAGAGACTATCTCTTCTACTAGGTTTGATAGCCACTGTCAACTTACCAACGGACGAAAAGAATCTCATGCTTTTAAATTGGTGAAACTCTTCCAAAATTAGAAATCAATAGAAGCCCAATGCAAACTTTTTTTTTTTAAAATGAAAGGCACAGTATGTGATCACAATAAAACCCAATGCATACTTGGGCCATAATCAAACATCAAGATACAAGCTTTTTCTTTGGTGCTGAATGATACACTATAATAATATTTACTTCCTCTATTTCTTATTATAGACAAAAATCAAATTATGTTGATAAAAAAAAAATTAAAATAGTTGAGAACAATAATATGTAAAAAGTAAATTTTCCTAACAACCCATTAAGGAGAGAGAGTATGAGAGCAATTAAATTATTAAGAGAATGAGAGAGAGAGAGCTTTGGAGACTAAATAAATAGGAAATCAATACAAAAAATGACAACTTTAAGTGTCTCTATATATGGGAACATGTCATAGCATCAATGTCTCTTATAATAAGGAACAGTATTATTGAAGATATTTTTTTTTAGAAACATGACTCACACATTTATTATACTTGTCATATAAGATTTGAACTTATAATCTCTATGAAAAATAACTTGATGATAGTGTTTGGTGTTAATGTAAACCTTGACTATTATAATTATAAACTTGAATCCATTAATTGATAACGTGAAGCCCAAGACGCATTCATTCAAACTCTATATGAATCACATAACTTTAGATACATGAATCACATAATACTATGAGTCAGGTTCAAAAGTTTAGATAAGAAACCAGGTCCCCCAAAAAAAAAGGTTTAAATAAGACTTGCTTTATTCATTGATTGATTGATTCGTGGATGATTCTAATAAGTCAAAGATTCGTTGAATAGTGTGAAATTTTGTCTTTTAAAAATGCGTCATTAATTAATCCCAATAATTCACACGCTATACAATTTTGTATATAGTTATGTAGATGTTGTTTTTTCATTCTAAGATGTTTTCTCTGCGAGCTTGGAGACCCAAAATGGCTGCCAAAAGAAACACGAGCTCTCCTGCAAATGAGACGCTAGGTCAGTCTCTCTTTCTTCCGTCCCTCGTTCCATGCCTAATTGGTTCGCTTTGTTTTTGGTTTGGACCCAAGAAAAGCTCGCAGTTCAGGCCAATATAGTCATTTCCAGTTTTCCTGATTCCTTTTGCAGTGCCAGTGATGGTGAGCGGAATTATTAGGAATTTCAGTATCTTCCAGACGCAGCGTTTTCTGAAGCCGCTTCGCGACAAAAACGGGGTGAAATACTTCTAGAATCTTCAAATTCTTCTTCTGCATTTGAAATTTTCTGCGATTCTTAGCTTCAACTGCAAGCTTTTCTTGGTTCCAAACCAAAATGTCCCGATCGGAGAACGAAGTCGCGGCCGATGATGCATCAAAGTTCAATGTCGAGTTCAGGAGCCATGACGATGAAGCGTGGTACTCCGTGAGGGTTGTGCTGGAGCAAGAAGAAGTTCTGAGACTGAAGTTCCTGAATTTCGGCGACAGTCACGATAAGTTGTTTGAAGCTCAATGCTTCAATAGCTTGAAGGAGGTGGAAGAGTTCGAGAAGCGGTTCAGACCGGTTTCGTTGCAGCTCCAAGACGATGAGTGCCGCAGCATCATACCAGGAACGACCGTCTGTGCTTGCTATCAGTATAACTCTGAAGATGTTCGCTTCTACGACGCTACCGTTGTTGCGGTGAGTACTCCTCCCATTAGCGCTACAGTATCATTCTTTTAGTGTTATTTTGACGGTGGTTGTGGTTATTTTATTATAAAAATTATATTTAGAGAATTTAACTCAGAATTGAGGTGCGAATCTATTAATTTAATATTTTCTCACGTGCGTCTCACATAAGTTTTGAGCGTAACATAACATATAAAATTCGCCTGCTTTAGTTTAGCGTGGTTTATCATAAAAATAAGAGACATGACATTTTTGCTCCGTAAACGTTAACTCAAATATATGATATAAAGAAGAAAGATTAAGATGCAAATTGGTAGTATTTTCTTATGGACATTTGAAAGGGTTCTTTGGTGCAACAGTACAGATAAACGTTCTTAGATGGAGGGCTGGTTTGGATGGAACGAAACATAGTTTTAAAAGCGATTTTACGGTATACAAAATAAATATGTGGAGGAATTTGTCTCAATTTGTGAAAAAATATTTTAAAAAGCACTTTTACAGCTTCCCAAATACTGCTAGAGTAAAAATGACGTCCATTTTTTATACCTAATGTCCGTTACGTTAGTAGGATGGGACCTACTTGATATCTATGTATTATAAGGTTTTGGATGCTAGCTACATTTGATGGGCATGACATTTTTACTTTATTTGAGGAGGATCATGTGTGCAGATAGACTCAAGAACGCTTTATGGTCTTAAATGTTTATGAGGGAATACTTTATGAATAAATTTGCATTTTAACCCAAAGAAACAATGTCCACTGAGACTGAAATTGAACATATCGCATTTTGTTCTCTTAATCATATGCATATGTTTAACCTTTTTTTGTTCGAAATATTTTGTTTTAAGGGTTAAGATGTAGTTTTATCCTCAAAATATTTTTTCAGTAACATTGAACACCTTAATTTGATATAACTTTGCTCTTAGAGTATTTTCTTAGTAACACTCAATACCTAAAATAATTTTTGATTAATTTTTTAAAAATGCATTTTCTCACTAGCAATGAGTATTTTTTGGTGTAATCGTGGTCATGATGTTTTGGGTGTGAGAGTTATCAATAAAAATTTTGAAAAAATTGTGCCAAAAATTACTTTAAGGTGCTTGAGTGTTAGTAAAAAAAAAAAAAAAATTTAAAGACAAAATTACAATGAGTAGTGTTGTTGAGAAAATATTTTTGGGTTAAGGTGTAAATTTGTCATGAAAGTTTTTACTCAGGAGCGTTAGTTATGCTGAAGTTGTTTGGGTGCAACTTTGTACCAAAAGTTTAAAATTGTAGCAATATTTCTTCTCACCATTAAAAAACTAAGGTTAATAGTTAACATTTTTAATGTTCAATGGTGTTTTTTTTAATTGGTAGGGGCAATATTACTACGATTTTAAATTTTCGGGACAAATTTGCACCTAGAAACTTACGGGTGCCTAGCATTTCTGGGCGATAACTAGTGTTACAATGCCTAGATGTGAAACAACAGTAGAAGAAATCCCTAAATTCATGTTTTTTGCTGATAATATATTTTTTGGCTGAGTCAAAAGCAGAGATTAATTCTCTGCTTGAGTTGTGGAGAAAACTTCGGAATCAAAGGGTTTTCGCTTGAGTAAGACAAAATATGTGCATTGCAATTTTGATAAGAGACAAGTTTGAAACGATCTAGAGGTTCAATTTGGAGATCAAATCATCCCACAAGTAGCAAAGTTTAGATATTTGGGATTAATTAGAGAAAAAAAAATAGTGAAGTTGATAGAGATGGAAATAATAGAATCCGAGTTGGGGGGTTTAGATGGAGAAAAACTATTGGAGTTATTTGTAATTGAAAAGTACCTGATAAGGTAAAAGAAGAGTTTTATTGTACTATATAAAACTAGTAATGTGTATAGCAGTGAATGCTAGGCTTTTATAAAGTAGGGGTCACCAGGATGAGAATACTGAGGTGAATCATAGTTATACAAGAAAAGATAAAATTCGTAATGGATATTTATGTGGAAGAGTTTGAGTGGCACCTATTGAAGAGAGAATGTTAGAAAATCATTTGAGGTGGTTTGAACACGTTTAAAGAAGGCAATTAGATGCATTAGCAAGGATGGTTGATCAAGTAGTATGGAATCTTCTTAAAAAAAGTAAGGAAAAACCAAAGAAAGCATTAAATGAAGTTATTGAGTGAGATCTTTTAGTTAATAATCTATTTAAAGATCTGGTTATTGATAGAATATTATAGTACTGTTTGATTCATGTAGCTGATGATACCACCTAGTGTGATAAAACTTTGTTGTTGTTATATTAAAGGCCTACATTTTTGCTAAAAAAGAATTGAGTAGATCATTTTTAAGCCCATGAAATGATAAAAAGGCTCGGAATAACCTTATGATTGGGTATTAAAAGAGATAGCTTTGGAAAGCTCTAAAAGAAAAGGTGTTCATGTTTCTTATATTAGGGCTGTAAAGGAAATCTATGAGTGAGCAGCAACTAATGCAAGCATGCTTAGGTGAGACAGAGGGCTTCCTTATGGGTATTGGTTTACATAACGAGTTATCCTTGTGTTCTTATCTGTTCAACATGATTTTAGATGCTTTAACTAAGCTCATTCAAGAGGAAATGAAATCCCAAGTGCATGCTCTTTACTAATGACAAATCTTGATTAGGAAGTCAAGAGAGGAGGTTAGCTCTAAATTGATTTGTGTTACGGAGACAAACTTTAGAATCTTGAGTAGGAGCAAGACATAGTACTTCAGAAAGAAAAATGTCATTGGCTAATCCTTTATATAAAGAATGTTAGTTTAATACTACTTTTGGTTCTTAAGATAAGAGCTAGATAACTAATTTACAGATATAAAGAAAATTAGTAAGTTAGTTATTTGTAATAAATAAATTTTTCTTTCATAAAATACTTTTATTAATCATGTGCATTGGAACTACTTGTTGATGAAAACTCTTTAACATGTTCAATTACATTACTTGGGGGCAAAATAGATAAGGATTAAAGACAAAGTGGATTGGAGTTTTATATTTAGTACCAAATTAAATCTCCAACTAGTTCTTATACTAAGGATTTGAGGTAGTATCATGAAACGGCAGATGACCAAGATGAAAGTGAAGACAATTCTTATCACGTGTGGACTCAAATGACTTGAATGAAGAGAAGAGGGTCACAAACTTTGGAGCTTACTTCATTCATTTTACTCGTCAAGATAATATAAACCATTATTCACCTTACCAAGTTTTATTATCCTCTTCATTTCCTGTTCCTCATAATATAAATGAGTTGGGTGAAAGGCTACACTGCAATATGAGAATTGGTTGAGTTTGTGTCAAAATAAGATTCATGCGAGCATGAATGCATTTTTAAGCATCTGCTTCTGCAACGCCTAAAGTACCTAGATTTGGCCTAAGCTATATTTTCATCTCTCTTCAGTGGGAAATTGCGGTGGGGTTGCTTTATTCTTTAACATATACTCTGTTGTTGGTGGCTGCTGTTCTGTGCATTCAAGCTATTGAATGGCCTACATCTAATGACTAATTTCTCAACCTATTTAATATTTTTCTTCTCCAACTCTTCTTGAGCTGAGCAATATTTGATTTTACTCTTAAAATGACGTTAGTACTGCTGAAGTCTAAATTCTATTAGAATGCAAATCTGACTTATTGGGGTGGGAAGGTATTTCCAGGAATGTCTTACATGCTGCCTTCTTATTTGCTTGATCTGGTAGGTGCAAGAGAAGGAACATTCTTTCAACGGAGGAGAGGAAGAGTGCTTATGCACCTATACACTTCTCTGGTTACATGGACCTGTAGCTGGAATTTACAGTAATGCCACTGTAGCAGATGTTTGCAAAATTCAGCCAACTTCAGGGCTGGATCCCGTAGTGGCTTCATTTCTGAAGATTGCAAGGGAAAGAACTAAAGTTACTGCTAATTCTATTTCATTTTCCAAGGGAGCTAGTGGATTGGAAGTGGTACAGCCCTGCAATGGAAGCCAAAATATTAAACAGAAAAGTAGTTTTCTTGAGCGCCTATACATGGCAAGTCATATGCCTCTTTATGTTTGTTGAAAGCGCTAACTATTACTTCTTTCAGTCCTAATATAAGAATTAGTTATGAGGTTTACTCTGTGTATGACCTCAATTTGTCTTCTAAGGTTATAATGTTTTTCACAAACTGTCCCTATTGAATCACATTTAAAGGGGGGTTTAAGGGGTGGTTTCAATACAAATGATTAAAGAGAGTATTTTAGGAAAATCACCACACATTAATTACAACTAGTTTCTTTAATCTCTATTAATTAGTTATCTTGTTACTATTTTAAGATTGAAGGGAGTCGCTTACATTCTGACAAAATGTATTCATGTTGCATGTTCTATTTTGTGGTTATTTTTTAGTGTGTAATATCTTATTTGGCTGTGTAGGATGCTCGCTGTACCAGGCGGTCAATCAGTAAAAATCCATCTTCATGTGAAAGTTCGTATATGTCATATTCACCACCATTTTTCTTATTCATTTAACTTAAATGTGATGCATTTTTTTTTTGTTTTGTTTTTTTTTTTTTTTGAATTAAAGCAGATAGGATTGCCAAGCTTCTTAGCAAAAGACTGGAAGATAGAGATCTTGGTGGGAAGAAAAAACTTATTTATGATATTAGTTGGGAATCTGGATAAAACTTTATCTCCACCAACAATTGAAGAATTCTTATACAGACACATCTCTGTATCACCCAGAGTGTACATTTTTCCGAGTTTATCGTCGGAGTTGTTTACTAGAGGGGCCTTTGTCTTTGATAGTAAAGGAGATTTTGAAAAGCTTCACAACTTTTTGAACGACCCCACTCAGATAGTGATGTCTTCAACAGGAAGGTGTGTTTGGAATTTGACAGTTCCCTTTTTTGGTGTACAATAGATTACAAAAATAGGCAGATTTACCATGCAAAGCTCTCCTTTATAATTGCTTCATCTAGTGGACTGGCGCTATATGCAATCTGCTTTTTTTCTTAAATGTTAGTTTACATTTAAGAGATATTTCAAATGTTGGACAGTCAAATTGGTTATGACATGAGCTAACTTTGTATTTGAGAGTTAAAAATTCTTGCAGGTTTACGAACTAGTTATTTGTCATGCACTTCAATGTAAGAGCTAAAAGTATTATCATTTTGTGTTGAAAATAGTGGCTTTAATTGATTTTAGATTCTTTTGTGTTTATGATATTGATTTTCGTTAGCCCAATATATATTTGATAAACATGTTATCTTCGTAATTAAATATTATCATTTTGGTTTATAGTATTCTAGTTGATTTAGTTGTTCTGCAAAGTGGTTGTCTGTGTGGTCAATAATGTAATCGTTACGAACTAATTATAAAACGTGAATTTTTAAAATTAGGCCATTTATTTGTGAAGTGGCGAGAAATGTACCTTTATCTTTTTCAGGCCATGGGTGATGACTGAAGAGGTGGTGGGGCTTAAAAACATCAAAGCATCAATTGGAACATTAATGCCTGCATCTAAGGTAACATCGTATCTCGCATCTAGCCAATAGAAAATTCTTTTAGAACGCCTTACGATTTGTTCTTATGGTTTAAAGTGTCATTCAACGCCTTTGTGATTTGTCTATGTTATTGCTTAACCACCTCGTGCTACTGATTTAAAATTTGGTGGAAATAATTATGGCTAATAAATAAATGATTTGTTTCACATGTATGCAAATTTTTGTGGTGTTTTAATCCATTATTCGAAGGGCTAAAGAGCATTCTTGCCCGGAATAGTTTCATGAGGAGCACTGGCTATTGTAGATTATTCATTCATATAATTTGGTTCAATTAGATTTAGGATGCCACACAAGTTGTTTGTGAGACAACTAAACAAGCTATGAAAGAGTTTGAAACGCTCGGATGTGTTAGGTGGCTAGTTTTAGAGAAGGGGTGAATTGGGTACTTAAATTTCTGTACAGATGATAAAGAAGTGATAGCACAATATAAGGTCTATGAAACAAAGTATAAAATGTGTATATACTTGCAAAGTAAGATAGTGCGAGATGAGGAGATCAAACACTAGGTTCATTTGGTTCAAATTCTCAACTTGAGCCTACATCCAAACCCCAAGCTCCTCACTTGAGATTTTCCACTAATTCCACAAGTTCGATTTGGGTACTTGTAAAGCCACAATACGTTCACTTGACCTCTTTTCTAGGCCAAATAATCCTCACTCCCTTTCAATGGAGTAATCTTTTCCTGATAATCTTGTCTCGGGATAGACGCCTACTGTATATTTTGGAAATAATTGCAGTAAAGTAGTAGACAACTAATCATTGAGTAGGCAAATACTAAATCTTCCTGAGAGCATCATTCAAAGTGTTAGCACTACACTCAGGACGGGGTGGATTGGGTTATTATAAAAATGTGAATGAAACTTGAAATCAAAGACTTAAATAGTAAAGAGATTTCAATATATTTTATCTATGTCTAATCCCCAAGAACCTCTTGAGATTTCAATATATTATATCTTTCAAGTTTAACATGGTATTTGAGTTAATGGGTACTTGTGAAGCCTTTGCACTCACATCAGATCCCTCAAGTTTGTAATGTAACCTTCTTACAACCTGTAATAAATGATTGCAATGACTGAACTCTTACTTTCAAGAATGAGTAATGATGAACGCTGAAGCATAGGGAGTATAGGTGTTGGAGCTTTGAATGTGACATTAATGAAACAGAGTTTCAGCACGTTTAATTTTTCAAGGTTGTTATTCTGTCTTAAATGCTCTTTTATTTATAGTTGAAGCTGGTTGAATAGCCATTAGACTCAACAATCTTTCCATTGGAGCTAAAGCGTGTGATTGTTGAGAATTATTAAATGCATCTGTCTGTTTTCATAATAAATCCATTGCTTTAATGTCGGTAAAATGTGTTTTAATATGTTCTCATATGTTATATGACACTTAGACACATTTAGGGAAGGCTTGGAATAGCTTTTATTAAAGTTAGATAACATTTGAAAAATCCAAGATGTTGTTATGAGATACAGAGCATTCTGACTCGGTTGATATAAATCTCACTCTAGTTGGCTATGAACTAAGGCACAAAATCTTGATGTTTTTAAATGATACAGTCAAGTAATGTCATCGACGGTAAGTGTTTTAGATATTTGAGAGTGATAGCGATAAGATTAAGTCAAGAATATTGGATGGCTCAAGTTTTCTTATAAGCAACTTCCAATTAGAATTAACTGACTCCAGTTGTCTATGAAGAATTTCTAGGGCGCGGTGCTTGGCTTGGGTTGACCTCAGGTTGGATAAGATTTGAGTTACACTAGAAGAGAGTAACTTCAGGTTAGAACAAACTTGACTTGACTTGAGCAAGGCTATTCTCAAAAATGGGTTTATGGCTCGAGTTGATAAAGGTTAACCTCAGGTCAAGCAACAACCAGTGACCGATAAGCAATAGCAACTTGAGGTTGAATGCTACTTGGCTCGAGTTAACATAGAATAAATTCAAGGTTAAAGCTTGTAACTCTAACAGCTATATCACAGTTTATTAAGCTCGATTCAATAGTAGATTATGGACAAGTAGGCGACTGATGAAGCCATCCGAAAAGTCATTTAGCTTTGTAAGAAATGGCTAGGTGAATGACCTTGAATAGCTTCAACAAATTCTTCATCAGAATATTTGACTGTGTTAAGGTAAATGACTAAGCATGGTTAATACAAAGATATTGCTCTAAATATTGAACTTGTGTAGACGATGAAGTATACAGGTGACTGAGTTGATTTTTGAGAAATCATTCTCAGTTCAAATAGAATAGTAATATTCGAATATTAACTCATAGATTTCTGTTATGAACTTCTGATATCTTAGAAAGTCGAAATCAAATACTTCAACAATAAAACAAAGTTTTGTCAAATCCTTCAGCATGAAACTTGACAAAAAGCATAGTGAGAACAACTCCGAGCTTAAACTATAACAACTACTATTACTAGTAAAGATGATAAAGATTTATGAATCCAATCTTCACCTGTTGATGTATTTTTCAACCACTTCAAATGATCTGATCTGTCGAGCACAATTTTCAAAGTTTTGTTGTCATCAAAATCTTGATCGTTCACAGGATGCTTAAGCTTAAGCCACAAGGTGGAAATTAATCTTGGGCCAAACCTCAACATAATATATAAGCTTGCTGGGAAAGCATGATTTATCCTGTTGTTTTGGAGTTAGGACTGAGAAGACTGGAGAAGGGAGGAGAAGTGTTTTCAATTTAGGCATTTTAGTTCAATTATTCATTTTTCCTTGTTCCTACCAAGGTAACAAAGTTGCAGATTGCTTAGCAGTTGTGTGTCTTTATCAGTTACCACCATCCCTTTTCTGAGGTCCTGTGATAGTGTGAAGCCTATCTTGGTAGCTGCTGTAAGGGATGTATAGGCTGAGGATATGTAAATCGTGTTTTGCTGGTTTCTTCCGTTTTGAGTTCTGTTTCTCGTCCTTTGTTGCTGTCATATGTATGTTTTTGGATTGAGTTGTTTGCTCTCTGTTTCGTGTCTCTCTCTCTCTCTCTTATTTTTGTGGTTCTTTTTTATTTTTGGGTGTTTTGTTCTTTGGATGGATAGGAGTATTTTTAGGCCGCAAAAACTGTTATATGTATTATTTATATGTTCAAAAAATCTATGGCAAATCATACTGTTCACAATGTGTGAACAGTCACAATTAACACGGGTCCGCTTAGTTGTTACTTAATTCATTCTAATCTTTTTATGACTGTTTGGAATATTTGAAGGCTAAGAAAGTAATATATTGTCATTTAAAACATTTTAGTTTTGATTGATAGGAATGTACTTGGATGTTTTATTTTGTGAGAAGTTCCACTTTGCCTCTCTGCATTCATGCTGTGAGAATCCTCTTGTTTTCTTGTTATAACAAACCCGTAGTATAAATAGCATCCAAAGGCGATGAGCTGGGGGCTTTGTTCTCTTATTAGGCTAAAGATAGTCCACTTCATACAATTACATGTAATTATTGTTGGTAAATTGTTTTGAAAGTTTATTGTCGCAATCTTTGATCTGAATACACTTAGTACTTTGTCTCCTGCAAATGAACAAGTTTGAAAATGACAAATTTGAGCCCAACGCAATAGAAGTCATCTAGACATATGTTCTCATCATCTAAAGTTGTGTTTTGAAAGTTGATTATACGGAAGTTAAGAATTATCAATTGTCTCTTTCCTGCAAGGTGTAATCAAAATGTTTGATTCAGAACTGAATCGTTCAATAACTTGCAAAGGATCGTGGGCTCTAAATATGGGATTTGGAGTGGGTTTTACACGTAATTATTGTTGGTAAATTGTTTGAAGGTTTATCGTGGCAATCTTCCCTTCATTGTGTAGTCAAAATTTCTGATTGAGAATTGCATTCTTCAGAACAAGACATTGCAAAAAGAATGTGATGGAAAGAGAACTGATTTAAGATTGTTCGTGTTGGAACTCGAGAGTTCAAGATGGCCAGTGACCTTAGGGATATTTTCATGGAATTTTCTGCTCACCAAAGGCAACTCCACCAGCGGCTCGCATTTGAGGAGAGAATGGTACTTTGCGACTTTTGATATACTTGATCCTATCTGCCTACACAGTAAATAGTAGGGCGTAGAATGCCATTCTCTATACATGCATAGTGTTCACTTTT